TATCCCTTAATTAAGGAGTATTCCCTAACTTACAGTATGGTTCCTTTTTTTTAAGGAAGATTCCCGAACTTACAGTCTGGTTCCTTAGATGGTTTAAGGAATATTCCCTAACTTACAGTATGGTTCCTTGTATGTTTTAAGGAATATTCCCTAACTTACATTAGGGTTCCTTAGATGGTTTAAGGAATATTCCTGAACTTACATTAGGGTTCCTTGGATGGTTTAAGGAATATTCCCTAACTTACACTAGGGTTCCTTATATGGTTGAAGGAATATTCATTAAGTCCTATTAGGGTTCCTTATATGGTGTTAGGAATATTCCGTAAGTTCTATTAGCGTTCCTTATCTTTTTTAAAAGAATCTTACTCAGTTAAGGGGTATTGGAGTCTCTGGGGAGTATGTGTTGCCGCAGCCCAGGGACACCAATACCCCCTGTTATTTCAGGAATCTCCTTTAGGGTTTAGGGTTTAGGTTAGGGTGTAGGGTGTAGGGTTTAGGGTTTAGGGTTCAGGGTTTAGGGTTTAGGTTTGGGGTTTTACGGAATTCTCCGCGATCCTTATGTAGAATTAGGCATGGGGACACCCCATGTGGTTTGAGGCCTCTTTCCACGGTTGGAAAGATACTCTCTGACTTCAGTCAAAAATCCCTCAAATCCCATGAGCCCAAAATTCGGCTTCTATGGCCTTAACCCTATAAGCTCTAAACCCCAAACCCTATAGGGGCTAAGAAGTCAAAACCAAACCCCGTGCCTTTGTGTAAGCCATACTACCCTGTGCCTAATCACTCCCCACCCCGCCCCGCCCTGTGAAAAGGCTGCAATTTGGGTACTGCCAGAGCGGGCGCTCTTCCCAGGAGGCAAGGGGTGGATGCCGACATGGGGGTTTTTGAGCTTAGGACTTAGGGGTTTTAGGGTTTTGGGTTTTGGGTTTAGGGTTTAGGGTTTAGGGTTAAGGGTTTAGGGTTTAGGGGGGGGTGCAACCTTGTTCTTAATCACCATTTTGATATCAGAGGGCCCTTGATACACAGCACCCTCAAAGGGGCTCTGAGTTCGCACAGCCTGTAGGGGGGGGTTGATGGTTGGATGTTAGCATTGTAGGTTACCTTTCTTCTGACGATCCATGAACATTCAAGGTAGCCTAGAGCCTTCTCCCCCCCGAACAAAAACTGCAAAGGACAAGAAGAAGAAGAAGAAGAGGAAGAAGAAGAGGAAGAGGAAGAAGAGGAAGAAAAAGAAGAAGGAACAGAAGGAAGAAGGCCCTGAGGCCCTCAGGATCGAACCCCCCTCCACGCCGCCGCACAGGGCCCTCGGTGGCCGTGAGCCCCTTGGGCTTCTGGCTTCTTTGGGGCCTGGCGCTGGTGCTGTACCGACGGGCGCGGGCCTGCGCGAAGGAGGCACCCTGGAGCAAGCGATGTTCTACCCTAAACCCTGAATCCTAAACCCTATGGCCCTAAACCCTATAATTAAACCCTACAGCCTATAGCCTACGTAGCTGGTAGCCTATAGCTTAATAGGCTATATGTAGCCTATAGCTCATAGCCTATATAGTCTTTTGCCTATAGCCTATATAGCCTATCGGCTCTAGCCTATAGCCTGCAAATTAGTAGGGTTTGGTGGCTGAAAGAGCTTAAGGTTTGGCTTTCGGGCGACGAAAGGCCAAAGTGGAGTTAGGCAGGCAGGTTCATGGATCGGTATAAACGCCTAAATGCACCAGAAAATCAGTTCCCAAAAGCCCCACACCTGCCGACCTCTATACCGCCCACAAGCCACCAGCCACCCAGGCATTAGAACCCTAAACCACGGTTTAGGGTTTAGGGTTTCGGGTTTAGGGTTTATGGCTAAACTATTCATTGAACGGCAAGAGTTACCACAAGTAGGTCTCCACGTAATCCTTCTACTCAAAGGCTGTTTACTGCAACGGGGACGTCCTACTTAAGACGGGGGTTTAGTAGCTTCGAAAGCAGGCTACAAGTAGGACGACCCCACCTAGGGCGTTCAACGCCTTACTAACCGACTTAGCTTCAAAGCTCTCAAGCCCTCAAGCTGTCAAGCTCTCAAGCCCTCAAGCCCTCAAGCCCTCAGCCCCAAGCCCTAAAGCCTAAGTCACCAGTAAGCCCCTTTGCCCCTTTCCCACCCAAACGTCCCGGAGCCCGAAACAACTGGACTTGGGGTTAGGGTTTGGGGTTTGGGCTTTAGGCTTTACAGGGTTCGAGTTCACGGTTCAGGGTTTAAAATTCAGGGTTGAGGGTTCAGGGCATGTGGAGAGTGTATCATGGGAGAACCTGTTCGCGTTGCACATGAGGAGTATACCGGAAACCTTAAACGGTAGTACGAGTTTGGTTCACCAAAGCCTTTAAATTCTTTGCCCTATACGAACTCATCAAGACCCTGTCAATGACTCATCAAAACCATACCACAAAAACCTCAGAAAGCCCTTAAAAGACCCTATAAAGAACCCCGACATAAACCCTACAAAAGCCACTAAAACCTGAACAAACCCCATAAAAAGCCCTTAAAAAAGCAATGCAAAAGGCTGACTACGACCGCGGCACACGCTGGCACGTGGCCTTCCACTGCGTCGGGAACCTCGCGAACATCTTGCCGGGACCTCGCAGGGTTCGAGTTTCTGCGGGTTTAGGGTTTAGGGTTTAGGGTTCAGGGTTTAGGGTTTAGGGTTTAGGGTTCCATATGCCCGAAACCCTAAACCCCAGTGCCCTCTTTTCTGTCGTTAAGTTTCAACTCAGGGACCGAGGTGTCTTGGGAAGCCGTTCCTGTGCCCTGGGTTTTGGAGTACTATGCTTTAATACTTTTGGGTTCTGGGTTTCCTATTATAGCTACTTATAATACCTAAAAGGTATATGCTTTTTTCCCAGGGTCTACTCCGAAGTAGGGTTCCTTGCGAGGCATGGATTGCCCCAGCAGGGTGTTATGGAATTTAGCAGGCTTCCTCCTTAGGTTTTGGAGTGTTCGGGTTTTAGTGTTGAGGGTTGCGAGTTTAGGGTTTAGGGAGGGTTCGCCCATGAATAGAACCACACGTGGTGCCCTGAAGTGGGTTTTGTTTAGGGTTTAAGGTTTAATGCGTCTCGACCTCAACAGACATCACGGAGACATTGGATCATGGGGATTCTTGACCACCCGCCGGCATGAAAGACATGTGCCAGGGGCCCGAAGAGCAAGAGAGGGTTAACGGTTGGTGATCCCAAGACGCCAGTGCAGATGTCGGACGTTGTGCTCTGAGCCACATAACTGCACTGATAGTTGGGTTGTAAGTACCCTGCACCTCCAAATACTTTATTAGGAACCCCAAAACCTAAATCCTAAACCCTAAACCCTAAACCCACCCAATGTCATTGAGGGTCCAACGCGTGTCACTGCTGAATGATTGCATGCGGCAAGTTGGAAGACGATGCCGGAAGCTGCAAATTAGGACTCAAAGTAGGCCCTTCTTTCCCTTGTTTTTTAGGGTTTAGGTTTCCTTATAATCCCCTTAACCAAAACGGGCGCACACCTGAGTGTAGGGCACCCTTTTTATTCCTAGGTTACTCTTAGGTCTGGCAACCAACTGAGCCCTCAATTCTGTTTCGTGATGCTAAAGCCCCAAAACCCTTCATCCCGAAACCCTGCGGCTAAAGGGTTCGGAGTTCAGAGCCTCATCCAAGGATTTTGTGAGGGATTTGAGTCGGATTGAGGGTTGGGAAGCTTGAAACCCCAAGCCCCCGAAGATTCAAGACCATGAGTGCCACGCAGGCTCTACCCGGCGCTGCCTCACGCCTGAAGCCGCGCGGAGACCCCAAGCCGTAGCAAGCTCCAATCAGGGGTTAAAGGTTTAGGGTTTAGGGTTTAAAAGGGGCCTGAGCCTTAAACCCGAAAACCCTAAACCCTAACCCCTAAACCCGAAACCCTAAACCCCAAAACGGGTTCAGGGGAGCCAAGCAGGATTTCAGGCGCAAACCAGAGCCTTAGATCATGAGCCCCAACCCAGGACTCCCAAACCTTCTGGACCCTGATATAAACGCCGGCGCAGAACATCCCGAAGCCCATGATGCCCAAATCCAACACCTTAGAAACTACCCCGCACCCTACAATCCTGAGGAGCCCCTGACCCAAGGCCGTAAACTCCAGAGAACCCTAAAACCCTAAACCCTAAACCCTAAACCCTAAGAGCATCCCAAAGAGGGACGCCGGACCGCGCCGCAGCATATGTTGAAAAAAGCTGGTTTAGGGTTTAGGGTTTAGGGTTTAGGGTTTAGGGTTTAGGGTTTAGGGTTTAGGGTTTAGGGTTGGGGAGCCTAGGGCTTGGGGTATTGACGGCATCTCTTTCGGGTCGAAAGCCCCGAAACCCCAAATCTTCACCCGAAGCCCAGGTCCCCAGTCAGCCCCCTGTTTAAAAGGCACGGCTTGAGGACGCAATTAAGTGGCATCCGACATTCTTCGTTGGCCCCTATACGCCCGAAGCTCTAAACCCTGAACGCTGCACCCTAAACCCTAAACCCTAAACCCTAAACCCTAAACCCTAAACCCTAAACCCTAAACCCTAAACCCTAAACCCTAAACCCTAAACCCTAAACCCCTGGAACCTCCGGAACCGCCCGACACCATAGGACCGTAAACCCTAAAACCCAAATCCCAAGAACCCTAAGCCCTAGAACCCTAGAACCCTAGAACCCTAGAAGAATAGAAGAACCCTAGAACCCTAAACCCTAAACCCTAAACCTAAACCCTAAACCCTAAACCCTGAACCCTACAGCAAGCTGCCTGCAGACTCCCAATGCGTGCCTTTGTGGTGTATTATGCTATAACCCCCTGTACCAAACCCGAGAAGGAACTAACCTTAAGCCCTAGAGCCCTAGAACTCTAGAACCCTAAACCCTAAGAACACCCCTAAACCCTAAACCCTAAATCCTAAACCCTAGACCCTAAACCCTAAACCCTAAACCCTAAACCCTAAACCCTAAACCCTAAACCCTAAACCCTAAACCCTAAACCCTAAAGAGCCCCTCAGGTTGACCATCCCAAGAAGCGCTTCGTGCAGCTGGGGCAGCGCGGCCCTCGGCCCAGGGCTTTTGGGGTTCTAAGGTTCTGGGGTTCTAGGGTTCTAGGGTTCTAGGGTTCTAGGGTTTAGGGTTCTAGGGTTTAGGGTTTAAGGTTCTAGGGTTTAGGGTTTAGGGGTCTAAGGTTTAGGGTATAGGGGTTTAGGGGTTTAGGGGTTTAGGGGTTTAGTGTTTAGGGGTTTAGGGGTTTAGGTTTTAGGGTTTAAAGGTTTAGAGTTTTAGGGTTCTAGGGTTTAGGGGTTTAGGGTTCTAGGGTTTAGGGTTCTAGGGTTCGGGTTTAGGGTTCTAGGGTTCTATAGGGTTCTATAGGGTTCTATAGGGTTCTAGGGTTCTAGGGTTCTATAGGGTTCTATAGGGTTCTATAGGGTTCTATAGGGTTCTATAGGGTTCTATAGGGTTCTATAGGGTTCTATAGGGTTCTATAGGGTTCTATAGGTTCTATAGGGTTCTATAGGGTTCTATAGGGTTCTATAGGGTTCTACAGGGTTCTATAGGGTTCTATAGGGTTCTATAGGGTTCTATAGGGTTCTATAGGGTTCTATAGGGTTCTATAGGGTTCTAGGGTTTAGGGTTAAGGTTTTGGGTTTCTGAACAGCTTATTAGTGTCTCTGAAGGGTTTCGGGCACCAGCACTAGCCTAAACCCGGAACCCCTCCCCCCTAAGCCCTAAGCCCCCTAAGTTCCCTGAGCGTCCCTGAGTTCTTTAAACCTCAACGGAGGCCCTAAACCCCAAACCCTAAAAACCCTAAACCCTAAGCTCCCTAAACTCCCGAAACCCTACACCCTAAAACCCTAGACGCTAAACCCTAAAACCCTAAAACCCTAAAACCCTAAAACCCTAAAACCCTAAAACCCTAAAACCCTAAAACCCGAAAACCCTAAAACCCTAAAACCCTAGACCCTAAACCCTAAACCCCAGACTTCCCTTTTTCTCCTCTTCCTCCCCCCCCCCCCCCCCCCCCTAAGCGGCCAAGCCGACTGAAAGGATGCAGACCAAGAAGATCAAACCCGACGAGAGGCAGGGGACCTTAAAAGGGCTTCGGTGTGGTTTAGGGTTTAGGGTTTAGGGTTTATCCTAGGTGGGATAAGGGGGACCCTTAAAAGGGAACCCCTTCTTAACCCTCTTCTGGCTCTCTTAAACAGAGACCTTATTCAGAGGGTCTATATCCCCAAGGGTCCCCCCAATCCTATCCCCTAGTTTAGGGTTTAAGGTTTAGGGGTACTCGCCGCAGCTTTTGTTTCTTCTTTTTCCCCACCCTCGGTGTGGGGTTGTTAGAATAATTTAAACTCAACTCTTCTCCTCGCCCGGAACTCTTCTCCTCGCCCGGTCTACTCTCGCTCACCCCTCAACCCCCAGAGTGTCCCCAGAGAGCCCAGCCCCAGAGTCTACCTGGAGTGCCCAATTAGCGTGCCCAAACCCAGAGTCTTCTGGAGCGCCCAGCCCCCAGAGTGTCCTGGAGCCCAGCCCCCGGAGCCCAACCCCAGAGTATGTCCCCGTGCCCAGCCCCAGAATGTCCCTGGAGGCCCAACCCCAGAGTATCTCTACCACGAGAGGGTTGGGATGCTCGAAGTAAAAAAATTGCCTTACAGGCCGAAAGACTGTATAAGGCTTCTACTGTCCCTTAACCAACAAGCCTCTTGGTGGCCTTTTGACCGCTTTGCCTCCTGGGTGCCTGTACACAGCTCATGATTAGGAAGATCAAAGGGAATATAACGACCCGAGTAGGTATACACCTATTACATTCCTACTATGTTGTTGGGGTTCCCTGTTTAGGGGCTCCCATTCAAGTCCCTTTGCAAAAGGGTCAACCTCGGGCCCCTAAGGTTGTAGCCTTGGGTTTCAGGGCCATATTCGGAGTAGATTAAGGGGGCCTGTTAGGCGTACATCCTTCTGTGTCCGAGTCTGACTTCCTGAAACCTAGGGTTTAGGGTTTAGGGTTTAGGGTTTCGGGTTTCGGGTTTAGGGTTTAGGGTTTAGGGTTTAGGGTTTAGGGTTTAGGATTTAGGAACATCAGCCCTTGAGCCCTCGAGATCCCTTGGCCCTTGTTTGGAGGGTTTGGATCCCTTCAAATATTCCTTCGAGCTGTCAAGGGCGCCCTTCTTCTTGCCCCAAACCCGAAACCCTAAACCCTAAACCCTAAACCCTAAACCCTAAACCCTAAACCCTAAACCCTAAACCCTAAACCCTAGACCCTAAACCCTAAACCCTACACCCTACACCCTACACCCTAAACCCTACACCCTAACACCCTAAGCCGTCCTAGACCCTGCGCGCCTTCCGGCCCAGGCAGGTTTTCCGGCTACCGCCTGCAAGGACAGAGCTCTGGCAGGCTGCGGCCCTGGGTAGTTATAAGTGGGGTTATAAGTACCCTAGATAAGGTTCTAAGTATAGTCACCCTAATCATAACCCTACTTTACAAATACCGAAAAATGACGAGCGAAATTCAGATCCGGGGTGCTGGTTCCTGGGGGTTCAGGGTTTCGGGATTCGAGGGCTGTAGGGTTTAGGGATCAGGGTCTAGGGGTTTAGGGATATGGGGTTCTAGGGCTCCAGGGGTTCTAGCGCCTAGGGGTTCTAGGGTTCAGGGATTCTCGGGCTTCGGGGTTCTAGGGCTCAGTGATATTCCCAGGGTAGTTTCATGGTTCTTTCACATGGGCCCTGCGAAGGGGACCCCTCAAGAACCCTATACAACCCAAGGGTCAATACTTCAGATTCCTGTAAAGAGGTAAGGGACCATACTAAAGGACCATGAACAACCCTTAGAGATATAAGGTTTGCGGCTTGTGAGTCTGTCCGACATGCAGAGACATTTCTCTCGGCATCCTAAGGGAGTCCCACGCGAGCCCCTACTTAGTCAGGGTGCCAGCCCGAAACCCTACACCCTCAAGCCCCTGCAACGCCAAAATGTTCAACAAAAGCGACCAAAAAAAGAAAGCTTTCCATGAAACTTTCCGCGAAACTCCTCGAAACTTTCCCCGGGCCTGAATTAGAATTTCTAACAGTTAGTCAGACCTCGAAGCCCTGAAGACCTCATTCCCCTCCCCTCCTCACCCTAGCCCTAAACCCTAAACCCTAAACCCTAAACCCTAAACCCTAAACCCTAAACCCTAAACCCTAAACCCTGAACCCTGAACCCTGAAACCCTAAACCCTAAACCCCTCCACCCTAAACCCTAAACCCCTCCACTGGGGTTTAGGGTCATCATGGGCTGCTTCGAGCTTACAGCCCGGTATGCTCTTTGTGGTTTGAGGGTGCAGGCCCCCTCCCCCCCCTCAAAGGTGAAACGGGGCTTATGTTATTGTTCTTGGTGAGTGCGTGTGTGTGTGTGTGTGTGTGTACAAGTATACATATACATATATATATGTACATATATATATGTACATATATATATTGGGTGTTGTTTTGGGGATACTTGTTATAAACAACCCTACCTTATATGTTCCTTCAGTTTAGGGTCAGAGTACCCAACAGGGCATTGCTTCAGGCCAGTTCTTCCTTGAGCGTCGTGCGCGACCTTTATGACGGCTCGGGGCCACAGGTGGAGAGGCATTGGGGGGGGGGGGGGGTTTGGTGCTTGTGGGTTTGCTGCTTAGGTTGGTTCTGGTTTGGGGTTTAGGGTTTGGGGTTTAGGGCTTAGGGTTTAGGGTTAGGGTGTAGGTTTAGGGTTTAGGGTTTGCCGTGTTTAGGGTTTGCCGTGCAGTCGCGCCAAGGCCTGGGTTCAATGTTCCTTCAACCAGCAAGGTGGTGTTGGGGCACCTTTGATGGGGGTCTGCGAGGGCTTCGTGGCAGACTTTTTTGAACACTTTTGGGAGAAGGGAGCCTCAAGAGGACTCCGTGTAAGACCAAACCCTAAACCCTAAACGCTGAACCCTGAACCCTGAACCCTGAACCCTGAACCCTGAACCCCTAACCCCTAACCCCTAACCCCTAAACCCTAAACCCTAAACCCTAAACCCTAAACCCTACAGTAGGCAGGTTTTGGGGAGCCCTTCCGGGGGTGCCATGCATGGACCCTCTTTGGTTCCCTCGGGAACCAGCTAGGCCTGGTAAATTCTGGCTAAGGGGGATGAGATTAGGGTTTAGGGTTTTGGGTTTAGGGTTTAGGGTTTAGGGTAGATGGAGATGTTTGGGGAGCCCTACTGCGGCAGTTCCCAGGAATGGAGGCACTCACCGAACGACTGTTCGACCTGTGCTCACTGAGGCAGATCAGCTTCCCAGACTCCCGAGTTGCTTTGCGCCGACATGTCGCACAACCCTAAACCCTAAACCCTAAACCCTAAACCCTAAACCCTAAACCCTAAATCCTAAACCCTAAACCAGTATAGAAGGTGTTCGGGCGAACCATTGTGACATCATCACACCACAGGAGGTGCATCGTGTGGCACATGAAAGTCGTTGCTTGACAGGGTTCGAGATGCTTCTCCTCCAAAGGGATCCATTTTGGACGGGACGAGCCTCGAGTGGATGAGTTCGGAGACGCTGTGCTGAGATCGCTTGCAGGGAATGCGTTTCAAGCGCACTGTTGCGCCGAGGCAAGGAACATCGGCAACATTGGCAATGGTTCCCACTTTAGGGTTTAGGGTTTAGGATTTAGGGGTTAGATGGCTAGGACGTCCCGGCCCAGCAGTGTGTGATAACTTAGGGCGAGATTCCCTTCCGAGCCACGTTGCGCAAAAGGGCACTTTTTTTCTATTCTTAGGTTGCCTGGGAGCCAAGATGGCTTTCGTGGTCACAGGGTTCCTCCGGCTTATGAGAGTGTTGGGTTTGAGAAGTTCCAATGAAAGAGCTGAGTTTGTTGACAAACTGGCAAAAGTATGCTTGGGGTCTAACTCTCAACCCTAAGCCCTAAAGCCCTAAGCCCCAAGCCCTAAGCCCCAAGCCCCAAGCCCTAAGCCCCAAGCCCTAAGCCCCAAGCCCCAAGCCCCAAGCCCTAAGCCCTCAGCCCTCAGCCCTAAGCCCTAAGCCCTAAGCCCTAAGCTCTAAGCTAAGCCCTAAGCCCTAAACCCTAAACCCAAAGACTTCGGTTGCTGGGATTTGGGGTTTCGGTGCTTGGGGGGCCGCTTCTAGTACGTGGCAGGGATGCCCTGCCTTGAAACAGGAAGCAGGATTTGGGGGTTTGGGGCTTAAGGCTTAGGGTCCTAAACCCTAAACCCTGAACCCTGGACCCTAGACCCTAGACCCTAGACCCTAAACCTTAAACCCTAAACCCGTAACCCTAACCTAAACCCTAAACCCCAAACCCTAGCGTCCGAGGTTATGCCGCAGACCCCCTCACAGCGTCCGTGCGGGCACTCAAGAGTCGGTCGGCCAGCGGCCGCGACCCGAGCTTTCTCCAGTTTTTTTTTGTTTTGGGAGGGTTTAGGGTTTAGGGTTTAGGGTTAGGGTTAGGGTTTAGGGTTTAGGGTTTAGGGTTTAATGTTTAGGGTTTGGGGCTTAGGGTTTAGGGATGTTAAGGGTTTAGGGTTTGGGGTCTGGGGTTTGGGGTTTCGGTTGGTTAGGGCTCAGGGCTTTAGGGGGCTAGGTGTTGAGGGGTCTTGAGGTTTGGGGGGTTGTGGATTAGGCGTTTCGGGTTTAGGGGTACGTAGGGGGCTTCGGGGTTTAGGGGTTAGGGCGCTAGGCTTTACAGGGCGCAGAGGATGGACAGGGGAACTAGTGCAGAATGACTAACCCTAAACTCCGCATCTAGAACCCTGAGCCCTCAACCCTAAAGCCCTTTTCGGATTTTGGTTTTCCATTAAGGTATTATGTTTTCCTCGCCCTTGCGGCGTTCATTCTTCCCATGCCCCTCCACACCACCCTAAACCCGAAGCCCTAAACCCCATGAGATTTTCGGTCGCGCGCATGCGCAGGGAGTGCTCAAGCCTTGCAGCCGTGAATCCTCAGAGACGCGGCCATCCGGGCCCTAAACCCTCCGGCGCCAGACCTTGGAGCCTTGATAACCCCAAGCCTCATGGGCTAAGGGTTTCTACGGTTTAGGGTTTAGGGTTTAGGGTTTAGAGTTTAGGGTTTAGGGTTTAGGGTTTAGGGTTTAAGGACCCAAGCTTCGCTCGCAGAAGTCTAGGGGTTGAGAGGGACCCCCCAAAAATAGTAGGATCCCGTGATAATAAGGGCCCCAATAAGGTAACCCCTGGTTTCGGAACCATGTGGGTGCTCTCACGAGCACACACGCTTTCTTCTGACATGGAGCACTTCACCTAGTACCCCGGAAAGTTGTCAAAGCTAGAACGCCGCTGCCTCTTACCCCTCTCTCCCCCTTCCCCCACAAAAAACAAAAAGAGCGGAGCAAGAACTACAGCAACTTAATCTCCGCAAATCTACGACTCCAGCCCTATCTTCCAGCCTGTGTATCCTCAACCTCTCAAGCCCGAATATAGGGGTCGGAATAGTTGCTAATCATCTTCCCTTAGGCTCCCTTTGTAATTATACTAGAATATCCCCCAAAACCATATGCTAAGAATTCAGGCCCCTATATTACACCCCTGCTCCGTCGTTGGCTCGCCAGCTGGTAGATCGATTGCAAGTGCATCCAGAGTATAGGATTCTGTCTTGACAAATCTTGCAAGGTTCGGACAGAGTCACAGGAGGTAGCTTTGCCGAGTTAGGCTTCCAAAGAGTGTGTAGAGTGCACCCCTGCACCCAGCTGCCCGCGCGTTCCGGGCTGAGCTGCTTCAGTCAGATGTTTTGTGTCTTTGCAACTTCAGGGTTTAGGGGCTAGTAGAACAACAGAGGCCTTTGTTGCCCAGTGGTACACTTTTGCACATTTTGTCTTGTTCTAGGTTCCCTTAAGAAGGCAGCCGTTAAATAGCTTGCCAGTACCAGCACATAAGAACTGTCCTAAGCCCTGCGTAAGCCCCAAAATTACCAAACGCCAGATTTTGCATCAGCATTTTGCCGCGCCCGATCGAACCTGCAAATGGTTCGCAGAGGCTCGTCGAACTAATTGCTAGTCAGCGGAGAGGTTCGTCGAACTAATTGTTACTGAACGGTTTGGCTATGAGGCCTCCACCTCCATCTGGAGCCCTGCCTTTCTAAACCTCTGAATCCTGGACTCCCTAAACCCTAATCCCTAATCCCTAAACCCCAAACCCTAGTTAAACTCTAAGCCCTAGGGGCCCTAAACCCTAAACCCTAAACCCTAAACCCTGAACCCTGAATTGGACGCCAAGCACATAACAGCCTGGCACCTTCACCCTGCAGCCGACTTCCCTGTGCCTGGAAACCGAAGGCGATTCGGTTTTTTGGGGCTTAGGGTTTCTTATGCTGTCTGTAGTTAATGGAGTCCTTTTCAGAATTAGCTATTCGAGGGTTGAGGGTTGGCATCTATTTGCTTCAGCCCCCCCCCCCCCCCCCCCAAAAAAAAAAACAAAAAACAGAAAAGCAATGTATCCCCTATATTGCAAAGAAGAATGTTTTGTGTTTTTGGGGTGGTTCTTCAGCAAATCGTAGGCTGCGGGCTGAAGGACATCCCCCCAGGCTTCCCCCCCAAAGCCATTTGGCTTCGCGCGAGCTCCTCAGGTGGCCATCATGCACCAATCGGAGGCCAGCTGCGAACGGTTTAGGGTTGAGGGTTTAGGGTTTAGGGTTTAGGGTTATGGGATCCCCCCCCCCCCCCATCACTACCCCTCCCCCCCCCCCACCCCCGGCTTTTTAGGGTTCTTTGCAGCTTGAGCGTGAGGTTGATGGCGCATGGTTCCACCGGATTGCCGCTTTCGAACGCTTTGTCCTGCAGGGACGTGCAAAATGGAACCCCCTGAGCAAGAACATCCTTGGGCACTCGACGTGTTTTCCGCACTCCGCCCTAAATTCAAATCCCTCAAGCAACCCCCCCCCCCCCCCCCGCACCCAAGCCTCAAATCCTCAACCCTCAACTCCTAAAGCCTAGACCCCTCAAACCATCAACCCTTTAAACCCTAAGCCCGAAACCCTAAACCCTAAACCCCAACCCCCAAACCCTAAACCCCAAACCCGCCCCCTACGCAACCTTGACCCCCCCCCCCCCCACCCCGATCAGACGTGGAGCCGAATGACGGCGGCCAGATCAGGCCAGTTGCGGGATTAATCTCGGGTAGAGTATGCGGTTTGGCGTTCAGGGCCAGGGTTGTGGCTTTTCGGCTCGGGGCTCGCGATTTGGGAACGAAGCGCTATTTTTTCGCATGTACTTTTGGTATTATGAACCTTAAGGATAAGTTGGGATGTTCCCCCTTATACAAACAGCCCTCAATAGGGATTATAGTACCCATCCCTATTAAGCACTGTAGTGCAAGGGGAACATCCCAAACTTACTGACTTAACCAATTGAGTGTGGGCTTTGGTTCTTAGACCGGTCCCCAAGACCTTGGGAAAGCTTGCGCATGTGCTGTCGAGTTTGCGGGTTGGGCTTGGCAAACCCTTTTGAACCCTGTAAGTCCTAAACCCCGAGCCCGAAATTTTGCTTCAGGATTTCCTCAGGAAGACAACCCTAAGCCCTAAACTCCAAGCCCTAGACCCCAAACCCTAAACCCTAAACCCTAAACCCTAAACCCTAAACCCTAAACCCTAAACCCTAAACCCTAAACCCTAAACCCTAAACCCTAAACCCTAAACCCTAAACCCTAAGCCCTAAACCCTAAACCCTAAACCCTAAACCCTCAACCCTAAACCCTAAACCCGAAACCCAACCCGAAACCCTAAGCCCTCGAAGCCTTCAAAGCCCGCAGCCGCACGCCATGCCTCAGGCTGTGACATGCTGATGGACCGAATCTTGTTAGCCCAATGGGGTTAGGGTTTAGGGTTTAGGGTTTAGGGTTTAGGGTTTTAAATGATACCTCTGTGGTGCTTCACTATAACTTTAGATCCTTAGCCTTTTTGGGTTTATATTGGGTTGCTTAATAAGGCAGCCAAAAGTTAGATTTGTAGCTACCCTGCTAAGTGCAGCCAAGATAGCCTTGGGGTTTAGGGTTTAGGGTTGGGATGTTCCGCCTTAAATACTAACAGTCCTTAATAGGGATTATAGTACCCCCTATTCTAATCCCTATATTAAGTGCCGTTAGTACGAAGGTGAGCATCTCAAGGTTTAGGGCCTGTTCTAGGGTAGCCTAGTCCTACCCTTTTGCGCTTTTGGTTGGGTTCTAGGTGACCCTTTCAAAAGGAGCCAGTCCTCAAAAGAAGGGTACCCTTGTTGTGACATGGGTATTTCCCAAAATAAGGGCGCCCCTTTTATACCCCAAATGGAATAGAATCTCCTTAAAGGGACCCCCCGGAAGGGTACCCCTATTCTCGTAACCCTAAACCCTAAACCCTAAACCCCCATATGGGTGCTGGGCTACCAAGGAATGCAGACCAGCACCAGCACTGCCTTCACACCCTCCTCCACGGCCTGGACTCCAATTTTTTGGAGGGGGTTTAGGGTTTAGGGTTTAGGGTTTGGGGTTTAGGGTTTAGGTTTTATCCGGTTTATCCGGTTTGTAGGGTGTATAGGGTTTGTAGAGTTTTTAGGGTTTATAGGGTTTGTAGGGTTTATAGGGTTTATAGGGTTTATGGGGTTTATAGGGAATAAAAGGGTTTATCGGGTTTACAGGTTTAATAGGGTTTATAGGGTTTATAGGGTTTAGGAACCCCAAAAGCCCGAAACGATCCAACTTTAGCGGCGAAGGCCCACTGAAGCTCACTCTTTCCGCTTCCTGCCGTCTCTCCCTAGGCTACACCAAACATGCTTGGCGTTTCAAGAGGTTCTACGAACAGTGTAAGAATCCTAAAAGCCTTATATAAAGCCCTAAAGCCCAACAGCCCTGAACCCTAAACACTAAATCCTCAACGCTCACGCCTCGCGCCTTAACGCCCCAAAGCCCTAAACCCCTACAGCCCAAAGACAAACCCTACAAACGCACAAACCCTACAAGCCCCACAACCCTAAACCCTAAACCCTAAACCCTAAACCCTACTTAAACCCTAAACTCTCAGCTCCCTGTTGTGAGCCTTCGAACCTCCTTACCGCCAGACACCCGATGAACTGGGAATTAGGTACCCTACATACTCCCTTCAAGGGCATATATATGGTACCTCATTCCCTCATCCGTGCCATGTGTAGGGGCTCCAGGATTCCTGGTTTAGGGCTGCAGGAGATAGGGGATTTCTGGCTTAGGGCTTATAGGGTTTAGGGTTTAGTGTTTGAGGGGCTTAGGGCTTCTAGGGCTTTACGAGGGTTAAACAAAACGGCCAAACCCCAAAACGAAAGGAGTAACAGATCCTCAACTCTATGACCCAAAACCCCTTAAGCCTTAAACCCCTAAACCCACGCACCCATATACCCATAAACCCATAAGGCCAAAAGCCCA